CCCTGAGCCGGTGAGATTTGAACCGCTGACCTGCTGATCTAGCAGTAGCCTGCAGTGCTGCATTTAACCACTGCGCCACCTTGGCTCTTATATATCAATTGTTGAGATTGGTGGTACTTATTTCTCTCTCTGAGATTTGTATATATTTCAATTTTAATATTTATTTTTAAAAATTATATTTATATTTTACTGCTTATTGTACACTGTCCAGAGTAATGTTTTGATTAATAAAATAATTGCAATAGGACAGTTTATTAGAATAACCAAATATTTACAAAACTTTTAGGAGGAAAAGCTGATAACTGATAAGGAGACAAATTAACTGGAATAGCATTTTCTTCAAATAATTTCTGAGTATTACTCTACTACTTAAGATAAAACTAAAATAAATTTGGTCCAGATGCATTAACAAATGAAAACATGTTAGTTATTTATCTCTTCAGAAGTACACTCACCATCGCAAAAAGATTATCATAACCCTTTACTTTGGTGGGAACCTTGGAAAATTTCTGGTCAAATGCATCTGAGATGTTATGAGCAGGATCAGTAGAGATGATGAGGACACTCTCACGTACCTTGGAGAGTTGTACAGCTAAGCTACAACTGGACCACAAAAGAGAAGCAAGAAGCAGTTATTAATACAAGTGCTCAAACTATAAATAGGACAAGCTCCTAAAATTCAGATCTGCTTGTACTGAAGGACTTATATACATAACTTTTAAGACGTATCCAAACTATTTGGTAAATACAAATATAAACTAACAAATTGCAAGTGATTACTGCATTCTTTTTTAATAAAGAAAATAATCTGAAGGAGAAAAGTAACACTGTAATAGATATTATGCTTGTGAATTATTGTATTTAGGAGTAAAATAGTTGAGATTTTGAACTAGGCAATTTATAAACATAGGATTATATATTAGAAAAAATCTGAGACATTTTACTATGCTTCATATAAGTTTGTATTTAAGCTTTTTTTCTGCTACAAAAGATACCAACACTGTTGGTGTTTCTATATAATACAGTACTATAGTTCAGAACATAAATATTAAATGATACGGTCTCAAGCGGAGTCATCATGCAACCAGACCTGATTTTATGACCATTTTACCCCAATCATTAAGCAAATCACATGATCATTAAATAAATCCAACTTGCCCAGTTGATGTTCTTGTCAGAAGCCAGCTGAAAGGAAGGCTGGCCCATTTGGATAGTTAAGAAACATTCCATTTTGGATTCCACAGATCGGAGGAGGAAGCATATGAGGTCAGACACTAAGGTATATTTCTGGCTTTTCCAGGGGAAAACAGGCAGTCTGGCATGATTCTTATGTACAATTGTGTCAACAATAAAGAAACCTAAGCTTCAGAGCATTTTGGTTGTTTACACCTGACAGCTAGAAAGGTCAGAAATCCTGATCATATGACAACACAACCGTCATGTGAAGCGGCTGCAAAGTGCCCAAATTATAATCACGTGACTGTGGATGTTGTGCACTGCTCATAACTTCAAGGATGGGTCATAAGTCACTGTTTCCGAGGACATCGTAATTTTGAATCAACATTAAGTCAAAGACTACCTGTTCTGTAATTGTGAAACATCTTTTTATTTATCTTTGATGACACTTTGACTTCAATAATAAATTATTATCCTATGGACACTTCTTTTATACTTTAAAATAATCTTACATTAAGTCAAAACAGTGCTTTGGCAAATTCATTGGAAAACTGTCAGTGTTGAAAGAATGCAACTTTAGTCATTTTAGATAAGAACAGCCCTCTTAAATTCACTTCTAAACATCACATATATAGTACTACAGCTTTCTCCTATCACATCCCTATTTCAGGATAAACTGCATTTTTTTTAATGAAGAAAATAATCTGAAGGAAAAAGATCATGAGAAACCATTTGATAATTCATTATATGCCATGCAGTACATAATTTTATTTATGTGCAGCACATAATTATAAATTATAAATTACCACTGTAAAGTTAGACTAATTAAAAAACCATGTTTAAATCTAACACTACTGGTACTGCCTTTCAATGTTTCTATCATAAATTCTGTTTTATGATTCCAAGAAAAGTTGGAACAGAAATAGTGCACAATAGCAAATCTACCACATATCTGAAAGTACTAAAAGTACAAAAACTCTGTTGATAGAGATCAACAAATGGGATGGGAAAGGGAATCAAGGAAAATGCCAGATCATAATTTCATTAATCTGGATTTTTTTTTTTAAAAAAAAGGGCATTTTCTAACTTACGGTTTGAAAATGTCAGAAAATATTTTCAACCCTCTCTATCACAAGACGCAAAACATTCAAGGCCATTGAGGAAGGAAAGAGCTACAGAGAACTAAGCAAGTATAGTTTAAACCTTGATTTTAAAAAGAAATTTCAATCCCTAATTTTATTTCAGATTTCAAATGCAGCCAATGATCCTTTGGGAGGAAATGACGCCAACCCCGCGACCCGGCATACATTAGCAAGCCTCTTGTTTTCCTACCCCTTCGGTTTCTGCACAATAATTTGACATTTTCATTTACTGCAAGGTCCCTCCACTCACCGCCGTCCGGCTTCCTCTGCCAGCTAAATACGAGGCAGCAATTCCAGAAGTGGGGTTGTCAGCAGCAAGGAGCGCAGAAGCCCTCCCCCCTCCCCTCATCTTGACCCTTCAACAACTCACGAAAGCCAGAAAACAGCCGCCAACATCCTCCCGGTAAAAAAGAGAAAAGCGGCGCCCGCCATCACGCTCTTCCTTGACGCCGGCCGACTCACCTGCAAGTGGTTTTGCCCACGCCGCCCTTCCCGCCCACGAAAATCCACTTCAGGCTCCGTTGCTCGATAATGTTGCTCAGCGTCGGCTCCAGCGGCTCCACATCAGGCGCGTCCTCGAACTCGTCCGCTTCAGCCGACAGCCCAGACGCCACCATCGCTGCCATCTTGGAACAAAATCACGTGACAAGATGCTCGGCTACACCATTTTAATGCGGGGCTCTAACGTTAACGCGTCAACATTTAACAGGGAGAGAAAACGGCACGTCGCCCTCCCCTTGTGGCCTCCTCTTGGGCTTAAATCCTTAACGTCATCACGTCAAATCACCGCGTCACAAACAGATCTGACGCCGGAACAAACTCCCTCCACACACCCACCTCTGAATGGCTGGTATAGTCCTGTCTAAATTTTTTAACCGGATTGGTCGCTTGGGTATCTTTCCCGATTGGCCTCGGCATAGCGGAAGGAGTCTCAAATACCTGCCCCTCCTTTTCTCTGATTGGCAAAAGCGGGTTCATCTTAAGCGGCGATTTAATCTCTTGTGATTGGTCGGAAGAGCTGTCGATTCCTGGGCCATCGGAGCGCCGCAGTCCGCAATTTTTTTTCACTTCGAGACGTGCGCGTGGCCCGACCTTTTAACGACAGAGGCTTTCCCGGGATGCTTTGCGTCGGGCAGGCGTCGTAATCGTTTCCCGTCATCCTGAGGACGCGCTCAGGCTGGGCCCAGAGAAGGGCTGGAGAGATGGCCGGGGTGCCAGGCGGGGAAGGCCCGGCCTCCGAGGCGGCAGGACCGGGCGGTGTCAACGTGTTCGCCAACGACGGTTCTTTCCTCGAACTATTCAAGCGGCGCATGGAGGAAGCCTCTGCGTCGGGAGGGAAGGGTGGACGAGAAACGGCGATGGCCGGAGCCGAGAAGCGGAAAGAGACCGAACCGCGGCCAGAGCCGCCCGGGGACCAAGAGCCACCGGGAAAGAAGCGGAGCGGGAGCGCCCTCAGCTTCGTAAGGGATCTGGGCACTGACCTTTTCTCTTCTTCCCCTTGTTTCTCCTCCCCCCCCTTGGCCTTCCCCGAAGGACCGAGGCGCAAAACCCTTTTGTTCATTTGTTTTCTCTCAAAAGTAGGATGTCTTTAATAAACACAGGCAATAATTCTCCAGGTGCCGCCTCTCTGTTGGCTTCCTCCCACCACCCTCTAGTATTTGCATCCCTGCTCCCCTATAAAAGAGATTACTTTTTATTAAAGCAATATGATGTTAGCAGGAGCAATGTTACATTTTCTTCTTCCTTCTGGACTCTTCCTCCCTTCCCCCTCCCCTATCTGTTTTGAAAGGCATCATATTGGACCCATCTTTCTAAGCACGTCTTGGAGTACTTGTGGCTATTTAGTACATTTCCCCCCCCCACCTCACTGTATTAGTCTTCCCCCCCTCAAAAAAAATACGAGTAGAAAATGAACTGATCCACAGTTGTTTACAAGACTGTGATGCTCCATGCTCAACACCATTCATTTGTGGGCAGGTTTATATGGGTTTCATAATTGCTGGGCTTCATAATATTGGCTGGATAATTACTCTCATGCCATAACTCTTGATTTGATAAGAATCTGTGGTGACAGATATCCCAACTTCGAGTTTTCCTTTTGTGAATGTGAAGCTGCCACACTCGACATGCATATAATGTAGATTTTTTTTTTAATGGAAGCAATAGAGATGGAAACACTTTGATTTGTTGGTACGTAATGCAATGTGCTTTGCTTTTAGTTGTCTTTTGGAAAACTTCATTTTAGGCTGATGCAGCCTTTATCAAGGCACAAGTAAATTAAGTGGAATGCATTAAAAGTTGTATCAAAAGGTTTTTGAAATGAAATTGCTTCCCCTTTCTCTACACATTTGTTGCTAGTGAATAGTAACAAATGTTTCTTAGCACATTGTGTTTTTTTTTGTATTCACAGTTTTAAAGTCATCAGTGTGTCTCTTCAGTCCCAAATGAAATCTTTTTGTTCTTGTTAATGTGATACAATAAGTCTGAAATATACTGAACCATTTTTATTTGCACTGGCTAGGGAAAATCCAAAGTATGACTTTATTCATCCTACATAAAGCATTAATTATAAATTTGAACATGAGGAATAAAGTCTGTTCTGCATTACAATGAAATATATTCCTGGCCATATTTATTGACCTTAATTCTAATTGACCTGTAATTCTAATTGAGTTCAATGGAATTTACTCCTAGGTAAATTCTGTAGGCATTGTAGCCTAAATATTACAAACAAAGATGTTTTATTTCCAATCTTTAAAATGTTGGGTGGAAGTTTTTAATTATAAAGTATTTTCCAACATGTATGTTTCCATCACCATCTATAAAACAATTTGTACTTGCAATGCATTTGGCATTGCTCCAGAAATGGATTGGGGAGGGAGTGCTGTACTATCTAAAAGTGATAATTGGAATCCCTGTTTTGTTTATTGCTAACTGAAATTGACATTTTCTATTTTAAATTGTCCTCTTCAACTGAAGATCAAAAATTCTGTTTTTCAACATAAAAACTGAATCACATACATGGTATTGTAAATACCATTTTTAAATGTATGCAGAAGGCCTTTGCATTTGTATCTAAAATTATATTAGCATACACCACACTTCCCAAGACCATCAAAAAAGAAAATTATTTTGAATTAATGTTGTATTGATTCTGCTAACTTTATTGCTTTCATGATTTTGAGCAAATAAAAGTTCTTCACATAATGTATTCCAGATTGTTATATTGTAGGGAAATAAAAGTAAAAATAGAATGGTGTTCCTATTTCCCACCAGGCAGCAAACCTGAACAGAAATTGGAATACTTCCATTTCTTGTTACTTGTTAATGTCTTTTAATGTTTGGGCTTAACTGTACAGATGTATTGGTGAACACTGCTAAGGTGCCCTTTTACCCTCCTAGCACAGCGGTGTAGGTAACGCTCGGCAGCTCTGTACAGACTGACAGGTGTGATGGCGAGCTAAGATGATCTAATTGAAGGACTCCCTATACCGTTATATAGTGGGCAACATTCCCCTTGCAGCTCCCTGGCTCGTATAACGGTTGCAGTCTTCTATCCCTTCACCCAGGTGGGCAAGCGGAGAGGGGGCAGCAAGCTAGCCCTGAAGACAGGAGTGGTAGCCAAGAAACAAAAGACAGAGGAGGAGGTAAGCTGGGACACATCAGGAATAATACATTGAGATAGAAGTTTAAAACCCTAGTTTAAAATTGGCAGCTGGGTCTGTCCTTATGGGCTTGGGAAAATAGTGATTTGTTTTTTGGTCATTTGTAATAACATTTTTTATTCATTTCCTAAATCTGTTTTAAGTGAGATTTTGTGTCCATTTTTGGTGTATAAATTGAATTTAGCTCCAAAAAGATCAGAGCAGCAATGTATATCCTGTTGCTCTAGCTGCACCTTATGTAGCAGATTAGAATGAGACAGGGTAATCAGAAGTCCATGCAGTAGTATCATGGCTGACTTCTCCAGTAAAATTACAATCTCTGCTTCAATTGAATGGCTTCCCTAGATTTATATGTAGGCAGATGTTCATGAGAACTGGTACCCTAAGAATATTTTTAAGTTCAGTTGTTTAAATGTGTATTCTGTAACTGGCTCCCTTTTTTCTGTTGTAGGTTTTGACAAATAAAGGAGATGCATGGGCGAAATATATGGCTGAAGTGAAAAAATACAAAGCCCACCAGTGCAGTGATGATGATAAAACCCGGCCTTTAGTGAAATAACTTTTCTCTCCAGCCTGGACTGTCTGTGATGTACATAATTATTTAAAATATCAAAGGATTAGTGCTGCCCCACAAGACTGAATGCTGTCATGGCAGCAGGAGACTTGCCATACTTTTATATTTGAAAATTTAGAACCTCCTTCACTGATCCATTTATTGTTTTCCCCTTCTTCTGAGAGCTAAGAACTTTGACTTAGTTGCCAGAATTTTAATTTGTAACACCCTCTCTCCAAATAGTGGAATTGGTCTGACATTTCTTTCCCAAAATCATCAGGCAACATATCTTTGCTGATAAACCTTCAGCTTTGAGCCTTTGCTTAACATTTTCTGTACCCCTGAACTTTCTACTATAGGACATGCTAAGAAGCACTCTTTATCAAATTCAGTACATCTTACTGCTGAAGATAAATTTAAGATATGGTTACAAATAGTCAGTCAGTACTGCAGACTGTAATAATTCCAGAGTTTGAAGTAATCTCTCTCTCTTCACTATGAAAGACAAATGAATCTGGATCCCTTGATACGTTTAATGTCTGACTGTTCTGTAGTTGCATTTATGCCCGTGTTGTTCTCTCCCTACTCCAATTTCACTGCATATTGCAGTGAATTATGGAGTTTTGTATTTAATTCCAGCTGCTGCTTAAGCTTTTTCCCAGCCTTTTCATATGCATGCTCCAATCTAATACTGGGGGATATCCTGTGCCTGTCTACTAAGAAGCAAAACACTTGGTCTGTTTTTGTACCAAGTATTACATATTTGAAAAAAAATCACTAAAATTACCTTAGGTGCTCTCTGCAGTGAATTCTAGATACTATAATTTTAACCTTTGACTGCTCCTGTGCCCCACTCCTAGGTGTTTTGAGCAGAGGTCCTTGGCTCGAAAGCAAGAACTTGGGATTATAGCCATTGTATTGATAATGGGTTTTTGCATGCATGGGACCTATGCTCTTTCATCATTTGTTTATGTATACCAAGTTTGGTCTCTTATACTTTCCATAAAATACTGTTGAAATGGAAAGCACCTGACGTGCATTTGGACACTGAAACTGGGCATGACAATTTCATATAAGGGCTTCTGGTACAATCCCAGCAATTGATTTCAAGTCAGGAAACACTAATGAGATCTTCTGTTTTCTGGTTGGCATAGAGAAGCTATTTTTTGTTGTGCTGGAATTGGGTTTCACTTCTAAATGTTATCCAGTTTGTGCCATTTTCTCTTAATAGATTGGGCTGATTTTTGAGCTGCACTATTAATGTGATATTCACAAAGATGGATTTGTATTCTAGAGAAAAACAAACAGGTTTGATGTCGCTGTTCGGGTCTATTTTTTTTCTTCAATCATCAACTGTTCATCACTGGACCAGATCTATTAAATAAATTTCTGCTATGAAAAGGCCATTGGTTTCCACATTCAGTATATCTTGGGCCTTTGTGTAATGCATTTGAAGAACAATGCTTTCTTTATATCAGGGTTCTTCAAGCATTTTTGCTGGAATTACTCATAAAACATCTGAGTGTTCTTTAGCGTAAATAAGAACTCTGATTACATAACAGGTTTTACATGCACAACAAGCCTATAGGAACTATATCTGAATATGGTAAGGGAGTGGTTAGATGAAACAAAAAAAAATGTTTTTGCCTCTCGTAATATCATGAGAGATTGCTGTTAAAACACCAGGAAAAAGAATAAAGGTTTGGTATTTTATTTTCAGCTTCCTGTAAAGTGATGCCAATTTTCTTCTTTATTATACACTCGATCAGGCTTGCGACTATTGCTTTTGACCTCCACAGCCCAGATTAGAGTACTAATCATCCTTAATACAATAATATTTTTAACTAATAGAATTTTGTTGTGGATATTTGTTGGTATATGTTTTCCATATTTTTTTTTCTAGATGGCATTATTTAAACATGGAAAGTCATTAAAACTGTTTACTGAAGGTATAACCAGCATCCAGATTTTCCTTTGCTTATGTGGTAATGAATCTTTAAAATCTTTATCAGAAGGTTGAAAGCTAAATGAAGAGTTAATCTGCACTTAAAATGATTAGAATTGTTTTCCATAAATATGCAATACATACAAAGTTAGAGAAAATGGATTCATTTTCTTACTGTAATAGTGCAGCCAAGAAGTTTATTTCTAAACTGTCATGGTTTGCACATGCATTGTGCTAAGCCCAAATGAGACAACTCATGTTAAAGCTTACCATATTGCATAAACATAGCTATAATTACATAATGGGAAAAAACTTCTATCTATAAATTAGTGAAAAGTTGTATTTTGCTTTCAGTTACAATGAAAAAAACAAGATGCATGTGCCCTTTTCTGTGTTATATTTACCATGTTTTTGAAAAACAAATAGCAGTTAATGGAACAGGTAAAAACCACAGTAAGTAGAGCATGAAACAGTTCCTTTCAAAGTAGACAAGCAGTTGCTCATATTTTCCAGAGGTTCTTTGACTATTGCATATACTTTGTATTGTCTTTTACTAAATGTTGGTCACTGCTATTCATAAGTAATTTCATTTCTGCCCAAGCTATTTTCACATCACATCAGAGCTACAATTTTGGGTTATATTATTAGGTTTAATCAGTTGTATTAGCAGCATGAAATTGACCCTCTTTTGTGTGGATTTTATCTTTTTATGAGTTAAATAGAGCAATGATCTTACCAAGTGATTCTTTGGGATAGAAAAAAAAGAAGTAATTGGTACCACTTCTTCAGTGATAGTCCCTTATAGTAGGCCCTCATCTTCCTGTAAAGAAAAAAACTTTCTTTTGTAAAGAAAAAAAAGTCTTGTTTTTTCTCCCCCTTTTTCTTATTGATTTTCCAAACCAGTAAAGGTAGGGGCTTACATGCAGCATTGGAGATAGTGATCCCATGTCTTGAAAGAAGCTATGGCACTTTTAAAGTTACTTATATATTGCCTGCTTCAATGTTCTGAGTGGCTTAAGAGAATTCATAGATGAAGTGAAATGTTTGGCATAATATTGTACCCTTTAGGAAACTGCTTGGCATGAAAGATATATGCCATGTTATTTTCCTCAGTATTATGATTTACTAAATACAGATTTTGATGGCCTGCATGAAGCAATCCTAATATTTTCCCATATCTCTAAACAGCAATGAGATACTAATACACAACAGAGCATGCTGGCTAGAGTATACTAGTAATTTAAATAGTGAGCTCCATCTTTACTTTTGCCACTTTTTTCCTGGTGAACTTCAAAATGAAGATACAAGCAATACCAAGGGATGAGATACCATGGGACAAGGACTTTCAAAAAATGTACTTTAAAATGGGTCCCCAACCCCTAGTCTGCAGACCACTACCAATTCGTAGCTTATTGGCAATCAGACCATGGAAGCAGCAGTCAAATGAGTGCGAAACCATTGCCCCTACCCGCCGCTGGTCCACGGAGCTGGAAAGGTTGGAGTCCTTCACTGTGTTTCATTGGGGTGGGGTGGGGATTTAATGGCTGTGTGAATGAGAAAACAGAATAAAAGGGAAGGATAAGATATTGCTGACAAGGAGCCCCTTAGTTCCGTCATCTAAAGAAATTAATTTTGCCTTAAACTGATATCTAGTCATTTTCCTATTTGTTTCTTAAATTTTTAAATGTATTGTCTTCTCATGGCCAAATCATCGTTTGACGCATTGAGATGTTGCAAATAAAAGATTATTTGTAGTATGGTTTAGAAAACATATGACTTCATTCCCAAACCCAATATGACTTTCTTGTGGCCAAATTGCAATTTCCAAGAATCCTTACAATATTGTAGGTCTGTTGGGAGTTCCCTTCAGAAGGGCCATACAAGAATAAGATCAGTTCCTACTACTGTATAGAATCAAGCTTCATTGCAACAATGGCAACTAATTTCTAATTGTATTAAAGGTAAAAGAGAAAACTGAATCACGTCAAATTAATTCAGAGTACCACATTCTCTGGTTCTACTCACCTTCACTAGAATAGAAAAGTTTTCTACAGTCACCTTGGGCAACATATGTACTTTAGAAGGCATTGCTGATAATCTATTTATTTTCCATTTCAATGCAATGTACATCCGGTTTTTTTAAATCTTTCAAGCACTAGATCTTTGTTATGGACAATACATAATCAGAAAAGCACTTTCACATTTCTGTACTTGCAGGGCAATAAACAATATGATTTAGGAAAGCCTTTTCACATATTGGCTTTGCTGCATCATAGTAACAGCCTGCCTTAACAGGTTCTTATGGGACAAAACCTTCTTTTATGTAAGACAAATAGTAGATTGCCTACAAATAAACATTTCTTCACTCTTCAGAATATATGGATGTTTTAACTCACAACCAGCATCTGAAAGGATCTTACCAAACTGAATTGTAAACTTTCCATAAAAATATTTCTCACTTTAAACACGCTGTATATATATATATTTAAATGTCAACACTTTTTTCATATAGTAGAAAGGCAGAAATTTCACATTGTGACAAATAATCTGCACTAAGACCATCCTTGCTCCTTCCAGTGAACTTCACCCAAATGAAGATTGAGCGAAACAAACTATTGCTTTCAAAGTCTGTTAATCCGTGTGACTTTCTCCTAGTCTGGTGAATAAGTATTAGATAGAGAACCTGCTTGCCCTACAGGGGTTTGAGAAGAGGCACCATATACTTCTTCAAAATAGATAAAACTATTTGATGGAGAAAAAAAGAGCAAGGAAATGGTATCCTTTTCTCTTAACTAAATTATATATATATATCAAAAGAAGCACTTCCAAAAGCAACAAGAACAGGTTCAGTCTCCTTCCCTAGCAAATATTACAGCTTCACGCTACCCTAGGCAGGTAGCTAACTAGCTTCTAAGGCTTGTTTTCTGCATTGTGTACTTGTATTGATATATGCATTTTCAATAGTGGCCCAAACATAAAATTCCTGGGGTTTTTTCTACATTAAATTCTTTTCCCCTGTGAACTGACCCAAGTTGGTATAGTAGCCTTAGAATTTCTCGTGAATTGACCCGAGCTTGTATAATAGCCTTAGAATTTCTCTTAATTTGTAAAATCTTAAGAGATCTTCAGCATCAGCTTTAAACAGCTTTCTCTTTCATTAACAAGTTAGAATTCCACTACAGTTTCCTACAACTGTACTCAGTAGTTTAACGGACTTGTAAAGGTATGAGGGTAGATAATTGGGTCAAAGAACAATCTTGATTTTCTACAAAACTAAATTGTGAGTAGAGTGGAAGAAAAGTTTTAGTTCTGCCATTCCCTGTTTCCTTCCAAACACCCCCCCTCCCCTTACACTAGATGCAACACTCAAAATATGGCACAAATCATCCTTTAGTACAGCCAGCATGGCTGCATGTGTCCGTAGGGGCTGGGACCGGTTTCTTTGGTGTACCCCAGAATTGTGCAAATAATGTCCCACATCCCAGGCCCCCAATATATCCACAGCCTGGAAGCATGAACGAGAGCAGGGCTCAAAGCCACCTCAGTTAGTCTCATAGGAGGAGAGCAGAGCAGCATCAACTGGCTCCATGCAAGAAGGACATGTGAATGATCGCATCAGCCAGTCATCAATGCAGTTTACATGGTAGATGTGTAGACAAGGCAGGAATCGGATGGGATCTCCATATACAAAATCCAGCATACAGATTACACACCTGGAAAAGTAAAAAGAGAAACTGCTAATACAAAGGTTGCAAGATGGTTACCAGGCCAACTTGCTTCTATTTTCTGCTGCAAAATAGAAACTGCAAAATACTAGTTGCTATATTGTTTTGCCATACACTGAGCTTTTAAATCAGCCTCCTGCACTGAATTTATGATATTTGAAAGTTTCCCTGTGTTATTTTTTCCAAGTGGAAACTTGCAAGAATTGTGTTCTTCCATGGATAAGTCACATGTTCTAGACTCGAAAAAAATTGAACACAAAGAATGAAGATTTTTAGCATGTTATTAGGATTTCTGATCTCTAGTTTATTCTGTTAGTCAGGAGATCAGAATATCACTGGTTTAATCCACTCCCATCTCATTCTTGATATCAATGTCACAATAACCACAAATTCCTATCCAAAATAGCAATTAACTCATAATTTAAACTCTGTGTTTGGAACTCTGTGTTTGGAACTCATAATTTAAACTCTGTGTTTGCGCAATTTTAATCGGGTATGTTGAGTGTATGGGATTGAATGTGTTAGTATGAAAGACCCACTTTTAGTATTATTACTGCTGTATTCTTTTTGTGTTTTAATTATACTGTGGGGACTGTTTGTGTGAGTGTCTGAGTATGTCTGATTCGGAGGACCTGGCGGGGCATGCGGGGGGCATTGGGGTGGTTGGGGGAATTATACCCACGGGAGAGAGTCGGAGCATTGCGGTCATAACAGGGAGAGGCAGATACGGCGGGGACTTTAGGGCTGGCCATTACTGGGGAAGGAGGGTTTGCTATATCGCAGAGATCCCTC